GGTGTCGAATCGTACGGTGTCGAATAATTTGGTGTCGAATAAATCTGTGTCGAATCGAGCGGTGTCGAATCGTACTGTGGTCAATAGAGTATTACCCACTTCGTCCACATCCTGGACAATTTATCGGCTGGATAAACTCCCGTGTGTCCAGATATTTGCAGTTGTTGCAAGGCTTGCAATACTTCTTTTGTATTCATTATTTTGATACAGATAGTCGCGAGAATGCGGAGTGAATTGCGTGTATTCCTCTTGTACCTCTGTTTGTATAGCGACGTTGTTTAGACAGGAGGTTTTTGATGGGCAGTTGACTTCACTGCGCGTATCTTCTTCTTCTGTTAGTTGTTCTTTCCTCTCCTCCTTCTCCGTTTTAATGTCTGCAGATTGTATCATGCTGATCTCATCGCTGACGAAGTCGCTATTAAAATGTTCTTTTTCTTCTTCAAGTACAACGCTGTTTAAGTTTAACCAGCGTTTTAACCGAAAAGCGTTACGTAGAGCGCAACTAATGTCCGATGAGCAAACTCCGTGATACGAACACTGTGATATGTTCTCTTCGCTTTTTGAGATGGATTTGAACGACGGAGAAAGAGCTTCCAGATTATATATGTTTTTAGACAGAAGCTTTTCTACAAAATCCATTTTTTCTTTGCCTTTGATATAGATGACGGAAGCGTATTTGGTGATTTCTCGAAGATGTCTTGTGAGATATTTGAGATTGGTTTCACCGTCAAATCAGTCGATACCGTGATAAATTCGTGTAAGCCAATCGTTGCATTGTTTTGATTTTTATGGTAATTTGGTGAACGAGAAGGCATCAAAATCCAGTTTCCAAAAATTGATCGGTTTACCGCGACATACGCCACTTCTTTTGGAATAAATTCATACACGACGCCGCAAAATTTTTGCATTTCTATGATCATAGCACCTTTATACTTGGACATCGTGAAAACGAAGCGAAGATATCGGAGACTAGAACAAAACTGAAATTTCTCCACAAAACGCTTGCGATAAAAGGCGTAGAAAAGTGGGAAAAATGAAGTGGGGGAAAAATATATTGGGTTTACGCATGTGCGGGAATATGATTCTCCGTTATAATCTACAATGATTTGGCGCGAAGAATCGATTTCCAAAACAATGTCGAAGTCCGCAAACAAGACAGTTAATAGTTGTTTCGAGAGCTGTTTTAAACCGTGCTTCAATTCGCAAACTACCGTGCTTCACGAGATTCCAATGTTCGACGCAATTAGCCGATAAATCGGGAGTGAGATCAAAAGCGAAGAGTGTGTATCCGTGAGCATAAGCATTTCTACTTATAGCATTGCCTTCGTTTAGAAAATGAATACCTGTTCTTGAGAAAAGAGTATGAAAAGCCTCTGTGGCGGCTCAACAACAGCCACCACAGTTTCTATAAGTAAGCAACCGCAGGAATACGAGAGAGCGCGGCCTCACGCGAGGCGCGACCCGTTCTCGAGAGCGCTTGACACGAACCGCCCACTCCCGCGAATGCTCCGCGGCAGCAGTCGGCGAATTCACGCGTCGCGCGCCACAACCGCTCGCGCGGGAGAGAGTTGTGCGCCGTGGGTTTTATAAGCGGTCCGCGACAAACGATTGCCACCAGTCCGCGCTATCGCATCAGACTACTAAGAGCGATACTGAGTATCAGGCATTGCTTAAGGCACAAGCCGCAAAATCCGTAAGAGCATACTACGTGACGCTCAAAGAAGACCAAAGCCAAGTAGACCCAGCACTCTCCGATTTGCTACGACCAGGGGAGTCAGACAAATTCCGACTGGGAAGCCACCTCATCTCGGGAAGCGGCAACACAGACAGAGCCGGCAACCACCGCCAGGAGCCGTGCAAGATCTGAGCCCAGAGGTACTAAGGGGCAACTGCGGGTGACGCGAGCCAAACCCTACATCACGTGGTCAGACGGTCCAGGGGCCCAGTGAACATAGAAGATCGGCCCTTTTCAGGGCCACCATAGTATACACCTCTGTAAATAGCTGTAAATATATAATATACGGAAGCCAAGAGCGTTCTCTATCGGAATACTCTTCTCACCAACACTCCTGGCTGCACCCTCTGCTGCTGCTCTCCTACGATGCTGAACAAGAATTCCAAAAACGCTATAGCTTCGATGTAGAGAGGAGAGTCCTTTGAAAAAGAAGGTTGTAACGGTCTAGTAGGGACTTGCATTCCATCGACGTAAAGTGACAGGAAATTTATAAATTAAAGTTTTTAAAATTAAACGGATTAAGTTTACTATCGCCGTTAAACGCTTTATTTTCGACAAAACCGATTATCACCTGTTTCGGCAGTTGACCAAGTATGGCGTTGTCAATTAATTTCCCCACCACTCCTCTGTGGATCGTAAACGAATTAACTTCAACTTTCGTGAGAGGATACTTTGCAGTGGTTTTGCTCAGCATTTTAGCGTGAGCTAATAAAACTCCAGCGCTTAGTTTTGTTCTCCTCATAATCAAGGTGGCATCTACAATACGACCTTTTGTCTGTGGCGTAAGTTCCATGAGACAGAAAAAGCGGATGAGTCTTAGGCGCATTTCCACGCCATTAATCAAGAATTTATTCTGATTGAAAACGTCGCAATGTAGATGTCCTATGAGATCCACAGCACAGTTATTTTTGAAATACTGCATACGTCTTACGAGAGCGGGGTTCTCAGTTGGAGCATCGAACCCGGCATCCATCAGTCCCGGAGAATCGCTATCCCATAAACAGGTAATGAGATGAGAGGATTTTACCTGTGAAGAATAATTCAACAATGTCTCGAAATAGGCTCGATACGCGTAAGCATTGTTTGGAGGTGACACAAGCTTTTGATTGAAGTACACATCGATTTGATTGAACATGGAATGTTCAAAGTTATTTACAGGCCCTACTTTATGCTCTGCAGCAGTGGCGCTAGAAGTTGTAGCCGAAGTAGGCGGAGTAATTGCTGCTTCAACGAGGGTTTGCAATATCACGCAAAGATTGAGAAGAGTATGCGCGAGATCTATGTAATCTTCACCATGTCCCGGTACGACAAACTCAACGGGGGCGTCGTCCGCAAGAGTCGACAAATGTTTGGAATGAATCCATTGCGAGCTCTCGATACTGGTCTGAGTGGGCGATAAAGGGAAAAGATCAAGTTTGCTTTCGAAACACTCACACAAGTTAGTATGGAAAAAAGACATTTTGCTTCGTTTACGAGAATATATCGCTCACGGTTCGTTTCTTGCTCGCGTTTCTTGCTCGCGGCGTTTGCTAGTTTTTGTTGCGCGCTTTTTCTTTTTCTTTTTCTGAATTCCTCTACTCGTTGTGCGTTTAATTGCTCGAGTTTTCTTTTTTCTTCGCGTGGAAACTGATTTCTTGTTGGTACTATTAGCACGACGGCGACGCTTGATCGCGAAGTGAACGGGAAGCTCATCTGGGTCAAACTGGCCCGGGCGTTTCTTCGCAAGGGATATATATCCCGACCCTCGCACTAAGCTAGTTATGCTTTCTTTTGGTTGTTGTTTGAGATTGTCACGTGATTCTTTAAAAAGACTGTTAACTGCTTCTTTTGGCGGAATATTGTTATCCCCCACATTGTCTATTATTCTCACACCAGCGCGTAGAGCTTCTTTTTCGATCGCGCGCGTTCCGCTAGCCAGGTAGGAAAACACCTTTCTGAACACTCCGCCGAGAAAGCTTCCGATACCGTGATCACGCCGATACGTCGATCACGTGAAAACTCTCGGAATGCCGCCCCCGCTCTGCATCTCGTAATATTCCATATACTGAGCCATATTCTACTCGAATACGCGTCGAAAGTGTAACGATACCGTCAACGTGCCGAATTCGAATGGAATAAATTTACCAAATTGATCTCTTATATCTAGTTCTATCACGCGGAAATTTGATTTACGAAGCGGAATATAATTTCTAGACGAGTAATGTTTCACCTGATTAGAACCGTACTTATTCGTAGCAGTGTTAGTAACTATTCGAAGAAGCGGTGTTAGCGCATCTCCGGTTATGTATGGTTTGCAAATGTCGCAATAAACAAATAACTTGTCGGGGATAGCACGGTCCAAGCTGATTGGTTCAAAACTATCGACACTGGCAGCTCTACTACAAAAAGTGTATTAACAAAGAATACGAGCCATTCCGAGGTTGTTGTGCAGGAATAAGCGTGCATGTATATATATATATACGTATGTATGAAATTCACAAGTAAATTATTTTTACATGTGAGTTTTTTGAATTGAAATTTCAATTCATAAAATCATATAGGATGCTAGATTTGCATCTCGTATATGAAAGATCCCAAATACCCCCCTAACTAATTTTAAAATATTGCGAAAAAAACTCCTCGGCCAGGAGTCGAACCTGGAATCTCCCGCTTTCCGTGCCATCGCCTTCCCTGTTAGGCAACCGAGGCACTTGGAGACTGTCTCGCAATATTCGTATATAAATCGATGTTCTGATAATTTTTAATAACGCTCCATTTCAGCTCAGCGTGAAAATCAAACGAATGAATAGTCAAGGCTCGTGAAAAATTGAAACTAAGAATGAAGAGGCTAATATGAGCCATCTAAGATTAACATAGGCAAATACGAGCCATTCCGAGGTTGTTGTGCAGGAATAAGCGTGAATGTATATATATATATTCGATTTATATACGAATATTGCGAGACAGACTCCAAGTGCCTCGGTTGCCTAACAGGGAAGGCGATGGCACGGAAAGCCGGAGATTCCAGGTTCGACTCTTGGCCGAGGAGTTTTTTTTGCAATATTTTAAAATTAGTTAGGGGGGTATTTGGGATCTTTCATATACGAGATGCAAATCTAGCATCCTATATGATTTTATGAATTGAAATTTCAATTCAAAAAACTCACATGTAAAAATAATTTACTTGTGAATTTCATATATATGTATATATATATATATACATGCACGCTTATTCCTGCACAACAACCTCGAAATGGCTCGTATTGGCCTATGTTAATCTTAGATGGCTCATATTAGCCTCTTCATTCTTAGTTTCAATTTTTCACGAGCCTTGACTATTCATTCGTTTAACAGAGAATGTTTCAAATCCGAGTATACGACGCAATTTGTCGCTAAGCTTTACACTATGAATTTGATTGCATTTGTCTTCTTTACATGTAAGCGATATAGAAACTTTATTACCATATAGAGGATTCAGTGACCATGTAATATGTAATTTTTTTTTGAGAGCACGAATGATTTATAGTTTCTATAAGATCAGCTTCTGAAGAATAAATTCCTGACAATATTGGAATGTTAACGAAATATCGCCGTTAGGAAAGGTATTCGCGAGCGTTATCAGAGCGTTATTCATCTTCGCGTAAATGTAAAAAACTAGAAGGAACCTGAATCTCGGTGAGAGCAACTTTCCATTTTCCCTGCAAATCTATACGGCGAAATAATTCCGTGGTAAAACACAAAGTGATGGTGTGCGGGAAGTAAAGCATACTGCTATTGCTCGGAAGAACTGCGAAAAAGTGTTTCTCCATTGTCATCATTATTGTCGCTATCCTTGTCGTCGCCTTGTGCAAGCGTTGTTAAACTCGAAACTGGAATCCACGAGTCGAATTTAGACGGATAACCTTGCCAACTGACTAGCAGTTGCNTATTACGTCCCCGATCTTTGCTTTTTATCACCAGATCACCAATGAAAGTTTCTTCTTGTAGATTTTTAACAACAGGAGCCAGTTCTTGCTCGTAGAAAATTCCGTCTATAACCTCATCCGCTAAATCACTCAGCTCGTAAACACGCAAATTTTGCCACTCGAGAACACGATAAATTCGAAATATCTCTTTGCTCCATTTGGCCTCGTATCCCTTCTCAAAGGTGGCTTTTGCTCTACTGACACGTACGAGATCGCCGACGGAGTATTTAGCTGCTTTTGCTTGCTGTTTTTTTTCAGCGATGCCACGTGTTTTTGCGTGCAATATTCGCGTTTTCCACCGTAACATCCGCGACTTTCATGCGTATAGAAGAGTGCGGCGTATGGTTGTACGCGTGCACGATATCCTGCAAGACATTGAAGTAACGTTTCGTGTTTTTGTGCGTGAAGTATCGTCACATGCGCCTTTTTAGCGTTCTATTGAAACGCTTGATCACGGCTGCTTTAACGTCTGGATTACGCGCCACACGGAAACGAATTCCTTCTTCCTTGAGAAAGTTTTGCAGCGGATGCGCGATAAATTTTTTACCTTTTTCGGTTTGCAAATACACAGTTTGTCCGGAAAGTTCCCGGAC